ACCAAGGTACGCACGCATTTCATCACCCATCTTTTTGCGCATCCGGAGCAGTCCTCAGCCTGTGCCCCGTCTCGACTTATTCACTTACGCGCTGCACAGAACTCGGGCTTGTCTGATGCAAATAACCAGATGACGAGATGTGCTACCTCGAGTGGTGGCTGAACGTCGAACCCACTGTGCTCACCAACTCCCTTTCCCATGCTGTCGAGCACTTCGTACATGAGCATGGCTGTGCGCCTTCGACATCACCACCAAAGCCGACATCGTGCCCTCCACCGCCAGCATCGCCGCCGATACCGTTTGGCATCCGGCAGAGATCGCGACACCTGCTGGATCAATGCCCATGTCCATGGAGGCGGTGTCGCATTCACAGCGGCTGATACATAAGCTTCGATGTGAGGAGACATGCTAGGAGCGTACGACGCGGACAGGGGAGCTTTGATGTGAGAAGACATGCGAGGAACGTACGACGCAGACAGGGGAGCAGACAGGGCGACGGATGTGGAGTCTTTCGACGATGTATGACAGATGGGAGGTGGGCCTATCGGCGTCGCCAGATGGGAGGTGGACCTATCGGCGTCGCGTTCGTTCGTCAACGGCCATGCACCTTCGATATCACCACCAAAGCTGACGTCATGCCATCCATCCAGGGCGGGTACGTATTCCTTGCAAAGAAACGCAAGCAAAAAGCTTATTACAGATCAAACCAGGCTATATCCCCGCAGCGCATGGCCATTACGTTGAGAACATCGGCAACACGACGCTCCTCCGTACCACTGGCACCTCAAATGGTGGTCGTTCACCCTATGCCGCCATCACCCCCAGGAACTCTGCTAGCCCCCTGCGCGATGTCGCGACATCGCCAGCGTCGTCCATATCGCCACCGATAGCGCCCGGCATCGAAGACCTCATGGCCGAGATTGTGACGCCTGCCGGATCAATGCCTATATCTATAGAGGTAGTGTCGCATAAACACTTGTTGTAGCACCGCTCATGTGCACAGCCTATGCTCCTGCCAGTGCGAAGACCGTCTGCAAAATGCAACCTGTTCGTATTCGCGATCCCGATCCCCTATGCTCCAGCCAGCGCGAAGACCGTCTGCAAAATGCGACCTGTTCGTATTCGCGTCCCTGATCAAGTACCCCGCTCTATCTTTATTGCACCGAAGGCGGAGAGGGCTCGAGGTGTAACCTCACGCGCATGCGAGCTCTGTGGCTTTGCCTGCTCCATACTCGATGTCTTCTTTCCCCGTGCTGCTAACTATCTCCACGCTTTCCATTGTCGTTCTTTTGCAGGTGCTTAATTGCTTTCCTCTTTCATTGATGTCTCTGCCGGGACCTCGGCATCTCGAACTACTGCCAGTTCTGTTTATCAAGGGAACGCAACAGCCATATATATTAGCAAATCTGTAGTAAATATTACGGCTAGAAATATACTAGCAATTATCTGATGCGCGAGCAACAAAGACAAGGACAGGCAGCTAGTCAGGGTCAGTTCGCTGTATGTGTTCATGCAACATCTCGCAAGCAGTCGAGACGCAAGAAGCGCCGCCCAAATGTCTCCGGTGTTGTTCCATCTGCAATAAGTCCAGATGGCGAGCCAGGAGATAGGTCCAGTTCTGACCACATCTCGAAGCAGGGTACGTTCTTGATCACTGTGAAGTTGAGCCGGTCTCGGAGCACTAAAGCGAATGCTTCGTATTCCATGCTCAGCCCAACTCCGTCAATGACTGCTTGCTTATAAACCTTGTGCAGGGTGGTAAGGAAGCTGACGACACTGAACGTCTTGCCTTTGATGTAGATTCCATCTGGTTGCGGCCAAGGTGCGACTTTGATGCTTTCATCGTTGAAGCGCACAGGAAAACCATCGGAGCAACAGTCTCACCCATGGTTTCCCTTACCTCCAGGGCCATTAGGGTATAAAATGGCCATGCAGCGAGTGCAAGAGCCACGCTACACACGATACGCCACATTAATAAGTGTACACGCAGGTGTTCAAGTTACCATGTACTTACCTTTTTACCCTTCTTGGGCTTCGCACCAGAATCGGCCCCGGGGGACTTCGTGTCTGTGCCCTTTCCGAGCGGTACGGCGAAGCAGTGATGCTGCCAAAAGCTCTCAGATCCTTCTCTCGCTAGAAGCATGCTTGTCAGCAATGATTCCAGTTAAACCAGGTGTCAGAGGTACGTACACTTATAGCTGTTATTCTGAATGCGCGTCAGGACAGTCTTCTCAATGTCACCAAGTTTGTCGTACAAAGCACGGGGATTTTTTGGCACGAATGCATGCCCTTTGTTCTGCGTGAGCCTGCAAAGCTCACGATTATAGATGTTAGTGCATTCAACGTAAGCCCGAGGGCTCATGCCGCAGGTCCACCACTGGTTCTCTGCACGCAAGCGCATGAAGAGGTAGAACTCGTCGCCGTAGCTGATTTTTAAGGACTGCGGATGCAGGCCTGTTGCTAGTGCAAAAATCCGCTCTGACCGTGTGAGGCCAGATGGGCCAGCTGGCAGCGGTAAGGATCACTG